ATTTAGTTCACGCTATTATGCAACCGTTCACCACCATCTACCTTCAGAACCTTCTCTATCTTCCCAAACTGAAACTCTGTGCCCATAAAACAGTCAAGTCCCTACACACCGACTCTCAGCCCGAGGGCCTCCATCCTGCTCCCTATGATTCTAACTACGCTAGCCACCTCACGTAAGCGGGCCCCTCCTACGCACGGAATCATTCAACGTTTGTCCTTTCTGACTGGCTCATCTCACTTCGTACTTTTCCAAGTTGTAGAAGGTGTCAGACTTTCCTTCCTTATGCAGGCTGATTATTATTTCTTTGTACGTGGACACACCAGCTTTATTTGTTTCTATTCATCCATCTTTGGACATTTGGTTTGTTTCTATATTTTAGCTATTGTGAACAATGCTACTGTGAATACTAGGGAATAAAAACAAGTCTCTGCTTTTCATTATCTTTTGGCATATACCTAGAAATGGAGTTGCTTGATTATATAGCAATTCTACTTCTAATCTTTTGAAGAACTGCCATTGAGTTGCCTGCCCTCCCTTCCTCCCTCCCTCCGTCCGTCCCTCCCTCCTTCTCTCCTTCCGTCCTTCCTTCCCTTTCTTTTTTCTGACTTCCAATAATGGCCAAGCACCCCAGTGGCCAACCCCACTTTGCTTTCAGGAAACCTTTCTGAATCTCCCAGAAGGCCTCTGGACTGCATGTGGCTATCTCAGGGACTAAAAAACAATTTTCCTTTCCTTTCTTTCTTAGACTTTGGCTTCACCTGATTGGAAACTGCAGAAGAGTCCTCCTCCCACACAGAAAGGGAACCGCTCAGAAAGCTGGGCCCAGCAGCTAATTACAGGCTTTTCCCAGGGATTCTTGCAAATGCTTAAATTGCACATCAACCTGACTTTTGTTAGGCAGTGTTTGGAAACAGAAGAATGGGCTGGGTTTTGGATCCTCAGCCTGGAGGTGACAGCTCTTTCCCGCTGCTGACAAGTAAAGCAAGGAGAACCTTATGGGTTTGCATTCAGGGGACTCTCAGCTTTGCCTAGATCTGTACCAGCCCAGCCTCATTTCCTTTATTATTCCAGCCAGCATCCTTTAAGTTAAATGCCAACCAGCTGGGATTCCCACTCACAGCTGTGCTTCTGAACCCCAACTGAGCACTGGAACTATCGGAGCACTGCAGAGGTCCGTATAAGGGTATATATACAGTGGCCCCCCCCTTATCTGCAGGGATACAGCCAAAGACCCCAGTGTATGCTTGAAACTGGGAATAATACCAACCCTATGTATGCTTTTTCCTATCTACATACATATGATAAAGCTTCACTTACAAGTTAAGCATAATAAGAGGTTAACAACAATAATCAATAATAAAATAGAACAGTTATAACAAAGTACTATGTAAAAGTTATAAGAATGTGCTTTGTTTACTTCTGCAATTTTTCATTTAATATTTTTAATATGACGTATTATATTTTTATTAAATGATGTATTACAAACATTTTTCTCCACTTAATCACTTACCAATGATTAATATACTGAATAGATGCACTAGGGTTTTACTCAACCGGTCTCCTGCTGCTGAGTATGCGAATGAATAGATTTCAGTTTTCCATATTACAAAACAACCCTACTTTATTCATCTTTGTACCTAAATCTCTGTCCATACCCTTAATTGTTTCCATATGGCTAAATTCCTAGTATTTGTATTAAGGGTAAAGAATGATTGAAATCTCTGAAACTTTTGATCTCTGTGATCAAATACTGCTCTAACACATTTATTCCAGGATACATATTTGGGAGTTTACAGTCTCTTCTGGGATATGTGGGTAAAGGGAAATAACACTAAGAAGAGTCAGTGATATTTCCCTTTTTGTTTCAGCGATTTGATCCGGATTTATTGCTCTATTTTTGTCATGGCAACTTTTAATTCACCAAGTAGAGATAGCAACTTACCCCCCCCCCACACACAAGGGATCATCTGTTTTTATCACAGTACACCAGGCCACAGTATTGAAGAGTTATTAAAAACAAAGAGTGAAATGCACTTGTCTTACTTCTGTCTTGGCCCAGAGGGATGGATGGGACACTATCACTGTTAATTAGACAACAGCGAGAGTCAGCATGACATCCCTGGAATGGTCCCAGCACCCATTGGGTCAGGGAAATGATCTGTCTGGTTCTCTGTGTGTTCCTAGCACTTGGAAACCACATCTGGCCCAGAGAAGCTGTTTAAGATGCACTTGCTCAATTCATGAATGACTTTTTGAAAGATAATGTTCGCACTCCAGGAATGATACACCAGCACGTTAAAGGTGGTGCCTTCAAGGAGAAGAAACTGGAAGCAGGGTGAGGAAAGGAGCAAAATTTCTATTCAGTAACAGCTATGAGATTGCTTCCTCTGGGCCAGGCCCAGTGTGCAGCACCATATGTGTGGAGACCTCATGGAACCTGCAATCATTCTGTTATTCTCATGTCACCACCGAGAAAACCTAACACAGATCTTGCCCAAGGCTACCAAGGTGGGCAGGTGGCAAAGCCAGCCCATGCACCTCACCCCTCTGCTTTTCAGATCTTCTGTTCTTGTCCACTTTTCTGCTGTGTCTCTCATTATAACGACTGTGTGCTGCTTTTGCCATAGAATTTTGAGTAAATGTGATATTTACATGTGTGTCCAACTTATTTCACTTAAGAGTGTGGTCTCAAGGTGCATCCATTTAGCTGGAAATGTCTCAAGTTTATCCTTCATTATGGCTGAGTAGTACTCTACTGTATAAAAAAATCACATCTTTTTTATCTATTCATCAATCGATGGGCATCTGGGCTGTTTCCAAGATTTAGCTGTTACACACTGTGCTGCTATAAACATGGGTGTGCATATGTTGCGGTGGTAGGATGCTTTTAATTTTTCTGGGAATATACCAAGAAACTGAAAGTGTAAATAAGGACCAAAATGTATAGTAGAGATTGTGAAATAGGAAGAATATGTTCAAATAGGAAGGGGAACGAGGGAGAGAGGAGGGGTAATGGAAGGAAGAGAAAAGAAAAAAATGAAAAAAGAAGGATAAAATGGAAATAAAGATTTTGTAAATAAGGAGGGAAAGAGGGGTTGAAGGGAGGAGAGAGGAACGGGGAAAAAAGATGAATCAAGATACATCATGTACAGCTACAAATTCCCCATGATGGGATCCCTACGTGTATCTAAATTGCACTAATAAATTTAATTAAAAGAAGAATTCTGGGGAAAGTAGGTAAAGTATGAAAGTGTCAGGAGTTCCTATCTGGGCTCGCAGTGCCCTCCGAGGTCCCCTCCTCATCTAAGCATACAACAGGAAGTCCTTTCTTCCCAGGGGGGACTTAGGCATAAGTATTTTGTGCTTGATCTGTTTTGGTTTGGTAATATTCTCACTACCTGCCATTTAAGGGTTCCCAGAAGTCCCTGTCTTCTGTCTGGGCCTAAAACTTTGGCGAGCGCAGCCCTGTCTGCCTGTGACTCCATCTGGACAGCAGCTGTCGCGGACTGCACCAGTGTGACCTTTACATCTGCACAAGACAGGTGTTCTTGATGGGACGCAGGCTCTCCAGGTGACAGCCCCGAGACAGTCCAGGACCAACCTGCCTTGGAGGGTCTCCAAGGAGGGCCCTGTGCAATTGTGGTGCTAAGAAACAAGGAGCTCATGCAGAGAAGCCTCACATGCAAGGGTTTTTCATCTCGGGGGAACCTGGGGACTCCAGTTGAACTCCCCAAGGGTAATGATGAATCCCCAATGCCAGCACTCCCTGATGCTTGAGGAAATGCAGACCCCTGACCTTGGAACTGGCAAGACAGAACTTGACTCTCCTAGCCTGAGACCTTGGTAGGCTGCTGGGATTCAAGCCTCAGTCCCTAGGCCTGTAACTGGAGGACAATGACACTGACCTGACAGGGTGGGTTGTGGTGAATCTTAGCCACGAGCTGGGGAAGTGCCTACCGTGATCAGGACATGGGAAACAATAACCATTACTTCTACTAAGTGTAACCCCACTCTGTGCACAGTTCCTAAGGTGGCTCCCACTGATTCCCACCACCACTATTCACACCCTAAAGAAATCCCTTCCCTCTGAGTGTGGGTGGAACCTAGTGAGCTGCTCCAATGAATCAAGCAGGGCAAAAACGATTCTTTCTTGCCCTCTCTTGCTCCCTTTCTTGACCACTGTGATGGGTGCCATCTGCCGTGCTACGAGTTGCCCTACGGGAAAGTCCACGTGGGCATGGAGGCCACTGGGCAACAACCAGGAAGGAACTGGGCCTCCAGTCCCATGGTCGGCAGGGATCTAATCTTAAACAGCTGGTGGAGAATTTGAAAACAAATCTTCCCTGGCTGGGCCTTCAGATATGAGTGCAGCCCTGCCTGAGAAACTCAGCCAGAACCAGGTAAGGTAGGCCTGCATCTCTGAGCTACAGGGACTGTGAGATAATAAATGCTTGCTGATTGAAGCTACATTTACAGTGATTTACTATGCCACAACAGATAACTAATACATCCTGGAAACAAGAGATTAAATTACACTCCGGAAAAAGAGACTAAATTCTACCAGACAATAGTACAAGATACCTCTACTTAAGCATCTTGAATCATTCTCCTCCTCATCATCACCACCACCATCATCTAAGCTAATATACAATGAGTAGCTCTTATGTACCAGGTGGTTACATATCTGTAAGTCATTTAACTCTTCACAGCAAACTTCTATTGTGTGCATTTTATGAATGAGGAAACTTAGGCTCAGAGGCATTAAGTAACTTTCCACAGATATCAGTTACCATGTGGCAAGTCCAGGAAATCTAGTACCAGAACAGGATTATTCTATGGATCTATAAGTCTTGCCAAAATTCATAGACAGTAAGTGAATTCAAACCTGAACATCAGATATCAAGTTCTTAAACATAACTCTTTCTAGATGCCTTCTGTCACTAGGGCAGTCAGTTGAAAGGCCTTACTTGGGGTTCACCAGGGTCTAGGATGCTCCATACCTGTGAACACTAGGCTGGCATTTTCCAGTTCTTCTTGAGGGACTTTGAAGCTGAAGGATTCATTGTAGAAAGGGTCGATTGTACCTCTTAAGAAGGATGTCTTCTTGGTTTTCACAAGCTTGAGACCATGCACCAGCTGGATTTTCACAAATGGGTCTGAGAATAGGACACAGCATCACAGAATATTGGAGATCATGACATGTCAACCTAATCCATCCATCCATCTTTTTCCTCATACATTATTCCATCATCCAGTCATCATTCCAACTTTTCATCCATCTCTCAGTTCATCCATCTCTTTTATCCACCTTCCCATCCATTTGTCAGGTCACCTTTCTCATCATTTCAGCATCCTTTTATCTGTTCAGTCTGCCATCCACCCACCCACGTTCCCTTCTATGTGACAACCCAACCACCCATCTATCCTTTCATCTATTTTACCATCAATCCATTGAGCCCTTAATCTATTTATCCATTCACTCCCCCATTCATCAGTCCAAGTGTCTTCCTTCTGTCTCATTTATTTATTCTCTTGTTTACCCATCTGTTTTATTATGTATGCATCATTTTCCTATCCATCTCCTTATGTGCTCATCTCTTCTTTCTCCCTACCCCAAGTTATCTATTATTTATTGAATTCCTCCCATGTTTCGGGTATCAAGATAATTTTGTAGATGAGAAAACTGAGGATGAAAAATGATTTGCTTAAGATCTGGCTGGTGGAGGCAGAACCAGGCTCCGACCCTGACCTGACTTTCTGGTCTGTGGGAGCCCATTATCATCAAAGTGAACCTAGGACCCATATATAGGAAAGCAGAGATGGCTGAATTATAATTATCATCTTTGTATCACTTTATAGTTTTGTGCATTACTGACTTAATATTTGTTTAAGCAATGCAGTGAGATATATACAGATTTTATGTCACTTTTTGAGATGTGGAAATTGAGGCATATAGGAACTTCCCAAGGCCACATCCTTTGCAAATAGTAAACTGAACTGAACCAAACTGAGGTGTGATTGCAGGCAATTTGGCTCCAGAAGCCTTATTCACTTTATCTTACTGACTCTTACTGTGATGAGTCTGAACCTCTCCAGCCTTTATACCATTCTTTCCATTGGAACCCTTGAAATGTGTTTTATAATGTGGCTTTTGAGCGTGCAAGGCCTCTTCTAGATTCAGCAGTCATCTTATTGCAAATGTAATTTATTTTGGCTATTGTCCTTAGAGAAGACAGTGTTTCCATCACTGAGCTGAAGAATCCCAGTGACCGCAGTGGTTTTCACAATAAGATCTTTTGCTGTCATGGGAGAAGCTACATACAGATAGTATGGAATCTGCTCCATTTCATTACAAGTAATATTTGAAGTGGTTTGCTATAAAATAGATGGGAAACACAACAGTCTTTTCAGTGCTAGGAGTTATAAAGATTTATGGTACTTGTGCAATGAACTGGGAAAAACCCTCAGGCTATGTTCACCTGCTTGCTGATTAGAATGAGCAGTTGTGGCACACCACCACCACCTGCAGCATGGTGTCTCTACTGCAGGCATAGTGTTTGGAAAGACAAGTCACTTCTTTGAGGCTTCAAGAGTTCAAAGGAGATCTAGAGTTCAGTAGTGACTGTACCTGGTCACAGTCAACTCCCTGATCCAAATGGGTTCTTGAGATGACATCGTTTACCTGCTGCATCCCAAGAGATATATGATCATTTATTTTCCTCCTTGAACTCTGGATGCTCTCCTCCTCATGGAGCCTTATCAGTAGCATCCTGGGTGCAGAAAAGTCGGGTCCCCCAAAACACTGATGTCCCCTTAAAGAACTGGGGGAAGGAGGAGTTTGCACGGTACCTGAGCCTTGGCTCACATCTGTTTGCAGAAGTTGCTTGGCTCGAATGATGTCAACATTCAGCCTCCCAGCGCTTGGGAGATAATTCAGGGACAGAAGCAGTTCTCCTAGCTCCACTTCATTCTGTAGAGAAAGCAAATGGTCAGAAATTTGTTTTCTTCTTTTATTCCTTTGCACCCACCATGCAGGAAATTGACTCCAGTAGCTCACAATGAGTTGCTGTAGGTGGATCAGTTGACAGGGTGCTTCTTTCTTTGACCTCTTTTAGCTTCTGCCTCAAATTATTTTCTTCAGTCTAGCTCAGAAAGTTTTTTCTGCTCTCAAAAAGCTTAGCAGAAGCAGCAGCAACAACAATAGCTGCAAAAGCATTGACAATTTAAAAATGTAAAATGCCATGTACTATGCTAAGCACTTTATATGCAATAAGTAATTTAATCTTCATAGTCCATGAGGTACAGTATTCATATTAATCTCATTTAATAATGAGGAAACTGAGGTTCAGAGGGCTTAAATAACATGTCCAAAGCCACATGACTAGAAAGCGGTAGAGTTGGCCTTTGGATCCAGGGAAGCTAAATCCAGATACCCTAACATCTGTATTATTTGGCCTCCCAGGAGGATACCTGAAGACAGGTCCTGGGAGGCAGGACACCCTGCAGAGAAGCTACTGGGTGAGAAGCTGTTCTCAACCTGTAGCCCACAGCAGGGGCTACGCTTCTTGTTTCACCATGGCAACGTTCATCATGTGACCTCCCTTGCTGAACAGTACCCATACTCTCAAAGTCAGCGCCATCACACGTGTGGAAGATCCACATAAGCACGTAAGGGTTTGACTCCATACCATCAAAGTGGCTACAAAACAGGAGCTTTGACTTCTTCCTTTAAAAAATTGCAGAAAATTTCAACCATTTCAAATTAATAGGCTAACATAACCGATATCCATATCCTCATCATCAAGTTGTAATAATGAGCAAAAAATTCTTCCAAATGTTTTAACTATTCTACTACTTGTAAAACATTTTTGCTAAACATTATTTAAGTCACAGACATGAAGTCCTTTTGCCTATAGATCAGAATATATCAGAATATATCTGTAGGTTATAAGGACATTAAAACAAACATTCCTAGCTTGGAAAACTTCCAGTCATCTTAGAAGATAGAAAAGTATAAGGAACCTCCATACACCTCCCATCACTCAGCTTCAAAAATTATCTTATTATCATTCTCAATTCACCTATTCCTTCGTTCAACTTCACATATTATTCTGCCATAATTTCTAGACATCACATTATTTCATCTAGCATTTCAGTATCTTAAAGGTAAGACCTATCATCCAACCATCCCTTCACTCACCCAGCTACCCACCCATCCCCCATCCTCCTACCTACACATCCACCCCCATCCATCCATCCCCACCTATCCATCTACCCACTCATCCATCCATCCGTTCATCCATCCATCCATCCATCCATCCCATCCATCATCACTTGGTCCCCTCTATGCCTTTTGGTGTCATCCACAGCAGCTAATTAATGCCAAGTGGCAGCTCTCGAACAGTGCTTGACACATCACATATACTCAATAAACATTTATTGACAGGATGAACATGAAACCAGAAGATTCCTGTACAGAGCAAGTTAGGGCCCAAGCAAACAAGAAACAACCTTGCACGTTAACTCAAGGTTGGAAACTTGGCTGCCTATGGGTGTGTTGTTTGGGCCGTATCACGTTTAAACAGATAATTACTTGCTAATTATTATGTAAGTCAAGGAACAAGATATTTTGCCGTTTTTTTTTTTTTTTTAATCTGTATTTCTTGCCTTGCATGAAACCAGGAAGGTTCGGTAATACTGGGCTCATGTTCTCACTGCAAAGTGACAAGGGTACTTTGGTTGGTCAAACTTTACTCAGGCTCCGGAAATTTCTCCTCAGTCCATCTCTGCATTGCTTTGCAAAACCAAGCTTTAGTAAAGAACACTTCTAAGTTCATTTAACAAGGACTTCCCACCCTTCATACCCAGTCACCCTTCATATGTGAAGTCAGATGATATCTGATCTCGCTGGGGTTGAACCCAATGTCACTCCCCCTGCATAAAATCCCGTCACCGTGGCCCTCTGTCTATCGTCATGGTCCTGAATAAAGTCTGACTCACTGTGCTTTAACAGGTATCACGGAGTATTTTTCCTTTATCATCAGGTAGTACCCATTAGATGAGACCTGCCTCTTTGTATCACTATGCTCCATCTGCCTACCTCCGCCCCTTTGGGTTCCTGCCACCCGGCCCTGAGCATATGATTTTCAAGACAGGGACGGTCAACTCAGTGTCTGAGCAAATAAAACAAGTTTAGATCCCTTTACACAGTTGCTAGAGATTACCTGCTGGTTCTCAGGGACCTAGAAGAGGCAGCTTCCTTAGGTCTGCCCCTGAAGGCACATTTATCCTTAGGCAAGCAAGGTGGGAATTCTGCAGGAGCTCAGGCCGTGGAGGAGCCATCTGGTTTCTCCTGGACTTTGCTCCTCCCAGGTTGCAAATCAGAGTGACACTTCCCTTCTTTGAAAGTATACCAGCTTCTCATGATGCAGCTTTGCAGGGTGGGGATGGGGGTAGACTGTAATGCAGTCAGTTGAGCTGCATACACAGGATACAAACACGCATCCTAGAAATCTAATGTCACTGAGGGTATTTTATTTAGTGATTGGCCACCTGAGAAACAGCTTGGCAAGGAATTAGCTTACCTATATGGACCAGCATATAGCTCACATATATAGACCAGCTCACAAGGTGCTTCTGGGTCAACTGGGAGGGATTTTGCTCCCAGAGGACACTGGGCAAAGTCTGAAGACACTGTGAGTCACAACAACTGGGTGGGGTTGCTACAGGCATCTATTAGTGCATAGAGGCCAGGGATGCTGCTCCACCTCCTACCAGGCACAGGACAGCCCTACAACAATCACCCAGCTCAAAAAGACAAGAGTACTGGGCTGGGGATTTAGCTCAGTGGTTCTGCTGCCTGCCTCAAAAGCACAAGGTCCTGAGTTTGATCCCTGGTACAAAAAAAAAAAAAAAATGACAAGAGACTAAGACTGAAGGACAGCAGATAGTTACAGGGCACGAGAAAGGAAAGGGGGTTAGAGGTGGTTTTTGTGGCTGTTGTTGGTTGTGTGTGTGTGCATGCATGCGTGTGGTACTAAGGATGGGACCCTGGGCCTTCACACTAAACTACACCACCAGCCCTTTGTATTTCCTTTTTTTTTTTTTGGTACCGGGGATTGAACTTGGGTCCTTGCGCTTGCGAGGCAGGCAGTGGAACCACTGAGCTAAATCCCCAGCCCTCAGCCCTTTTTATTTCTGACACAAGGTCTTGCTAAGTTGCTCAGACTAGGTTCAAACTTGCACAGAGCGCTGGCAGTACAGGCATGCACCACCATGTCCAGCTCTAGATGTCTTTTTTATAACAAGAAGTCAGTTGTCCTTTGACCCACTAGCTGTATTTGGAGACATCCCCACACACTTATATCAAGATGTGCAGGGCCGGGAATTTAGCTCAGTGGTGCCGTCGCCTGCCTCGCAAGTACAAGGTCCCAAGTTCAATCCCCGGTACCAAAAAAAAAAAAAAAAAAAGATGTGTACACCACATGGCAAATACAATAGCTTTGTCTGTTAAACTGACTGCCGACCTACTATGTGCCAGGGGTAGATACATCTGTGCAAGAGACACAGTTTCTGCCCTCAAAGAATATATACTCCAGTGGAGGAGAGAGCTTCGTGGACTCATCTGCTTTCTAAGTGTTTGTGTTTCTCATCTCAAATAAACCAAAGCTCTTTCATTCCTTCCTCCCTTTGTAGAATGCAAGCTTGGTGCTCTCTCTGCTCATCCTATCTCCATCCCAGACGCGCATGACAGCTTTCATGGTGTATTCTGCTAGGCAAGCATTCGCATTGATCTTTCTCTCTCCCTGATGATGGGAGTGATCAATTTGTAAGGCTGCTGTCTGGAGTCAGGGGAACAGTTGGTGAAAAATAAAAACAGGGCTAATTGAGCAATATCAAAAAGCTTGTTGATTCATTTAAAAAACGCTCAATCAACAACAATCTAGTGCTGGATCCTCAGCACTAGAGATGTCATGGTCATGATCACTACAGGAAACCATTACTGAAAAATTACCACCATCAAGCGTGGTCCCAGGCTTCCTGGTTGATTCTCACTTTCTCCCTTCGACAATCTACAGGCTCCCATTTTACAAATGAAGGAATCAGGCTCAGAGAAGCTGTATGACATGCTCAAGATCATATCAAAAATAAAAAAGACCAGACTCACGTTCAGCCTGTACATTAAATTTGACACCATATTGCCAGTGATTAAGGCGCAGTCATAAACTTCAAGCAGGTCAGTCTATTGAGCTAGAGCAGGGAAGATATAAAGCAAATCAAAATTCCAGGGGTTGCACATCCACCAGGATGGCTATGATGAAAAACAAACAAATGAATCCACAAAATCAGAAAGCAGATTGTTGGTGAGAATGTATAGAAATCGGAACTCTGTACATTGCTAGTGGAAATGGAAAACTGTACTGCCACTGTGGCAGGTCCTCAAAAGCCTAACCAGCAGTGCCATTCCTAGGCACAGACCCAAGAGAACAGAAAACATGTGCTACACATGAACTTGTACACAACTGTTCACAGCAGCACAATTCACAACAGTCCAAAAGTGGAAACAGCCCAATGTCCATCACCAAATGGAAACACAAAACACAGTGAGTCTGCACAATGGAAAGGAATGAGCACTGGTACATGCTGCATGTACACGAACCTCACAAACTCACTAAATGAGGGAAGCCAGACATAGCGGAGCACGTACAGCATGATTCCATATATGAGATATCCAGAATAGTAAGTCCACAGACGAAAGAGGAGGTTAGTGTGGTCAGGATCTGGGAGGAGGGGGATGCAGAGTGACTGTTTACTGGGTACAGGGCTCTCCTGCGGGTGACAGAAATGGTGACATTTACACACTGTGGAGAGTGCACTCATACCACTCAATTATAAAAAGACTTGCGTTTGCTTTGCAGCACATATACTAAAAAGATTGGATTTATGTGAATTTCACCTCTTAAAAAATTA